CAATGTCCAGTGTTTGCGTGCAACGGCTTGCGTTTTATCAGATGCGCGAACTAGATTACGATAGCTCCAACGTGATGCCGAATTTACATTCTGTCGGCTTGGTTCACCGCTTACTGATAGGATTCGCCATTCTGTACTCTTATTTCTCGAGCCAGCTCAGGTACAACGGCTGCGGTACGCCATCCCAGCCTAAAAAGGAACGAATCAAAGGAAAACGTGAACAGTTCTTTATTCAAGAGAAAAAACTATAATGAGATTTTGCAAGGGACCATACCTCAGAATTGGGTCAGCAAGGTCGGTATAGATATGATCACCAAAGTAGAGCACGCCCTTGTCTTTGAAACCAGCGCGAGTAGACAGCTCGTCAATATTTCCCTAAAGCATAGGTAGATTGTTGTTGACGGATGAAAAAAAAACTCAGGGTTTTCAGCAAGAAACTTACCCCTGAGTATATCTGACCCTCCTCCAAGCGATGAACTTTCTCAAACCTCATCATATCCAAATCAGGATCATAAATTCTGAATTGGCCTGTTTAAGAGCTTGTTTCATGAAAGACAAAGATACGCCCTGAGGAACTTACCGAAACGGTTCCCGCCCTTTGAAAAATGTTGGCTTTTTTGCTAACACGACTATATATGTGAAGTATTTTCGCCAATCCTCACCCAGCATATACGACATTCCAACATTGCTGAAGGAATGGTTGAATTCAACGTGCAGTGGAGGCTACTCCTGGCAAGCGAAGAAAAATCGTCAACTCACATAAATGTAAAAGGACTGTTGGTTCACCAACGAACAGTTCCTTTTTCCTCGAATGCAAATAGCTCTATATATTCCTTAAGACCTTCGTTAGGATGCACAAAGTATTTCAAGTTGTCAGAGACTGCGCGATACATCTCACCACTCGAATGAACCTGTTTCACACATTCCTGCAAAAGAAGCGACAATTTGATTTTGCCATGTTTTTCATGGTTATGAAACAATTGATAATGTCCCATGAAAAGTGTACTCACTTCCAAATCATCAAATAAACACTTTGGATCAAATACAATGTTGTGAAGGTCACAGTAGTGGACCACAGTAGAAAGAAGACCTGCCCATGGAAGAGAAAAGAAGTCCACCAGCTGCGGCATTTGACGCTCTAAGACAGTAAGGCTGCAAGATTGCTGTCATATAAAAAGTTAGTAGCTTTATGTCATAGTGTGAGGACTGATCGAAACCGCTGCAAAAAGTATTCGCTTGTTGCTATCAAGAAAGTCACCTAGCCGTCGTTCCTTTCAACGGATGCTGTAAAAGCAGTACATTGGAGCCAGAAATTCCGCTGCCATAAGTCACCAAACGAAAAATAACGGGAGCAGAACCTTGGACTATAATTCAACCCGATGGAATGGGAAGCATTAAATGAGCCGAAGATATCGTCTTTTTTCCAAGCACAGATGGTAGCATTCAAAAAGAAAGTGAAAAAAGGAGGAGCTAACATTCTTACTTACAATAACCGGTTTCAATTGTAGGTCTAG